CCCCAAAACCCCAAAACCCCAAAACCCCAAAACCCCTGGGGATGAGTTGGAATTGGTAATAAGGTTTTACTCTGAAATCATTATGGAATGGGGCTGATGAGTGCTAGTTTTGGTAAAGAACGGCTCTGCATAGAGGGCATTGGTTGCTATAATACATGCACTCCTCAGCACAATCTGCGTGGAAGACATGTCCGCATGATGACAATTTCATTAAAATGTTTCCTTTGGTAAATTCTTCAGCTCAGTGAACGCATTCTCTATCTTCGCTCTTAAAGTAGCAGAAGACTCCCTTTTCATTCGAGCCAGTGGGCAGCTTCTTACCTGTCATCACTGAATAGCATTCAAATTCAGGATCATGGACAAAAAGAGTTTGCATGTTCAATGCATCAATAATCTTAAAACCCGTATCCAGCTTTTGTTCACCCTCTTCTACTTTGTTCAAGCCCAATTTTTCTCTGATGAACTGTTGCTTTTCTATAAGGTTATTTAGAGTCGACTTTGTTATCAGGGATCTTCTCATCAAACAAGATAAAGTTCCTAATTGCAATCATTTGTTTCTTGTAGTCGTCAATTTTTTCTGTATCAGTATCATTTTCAGAAGCAACTTTATCTTTATAAACAAATTTTGATATTTTTATTTCATCAATCTCACTATTAGCTTCTTTTTTGGGGCTTCTAGCTGGCTGTCTTTGTCTGAGTTTTCTTCTAAGCATACCAATAAAGTCTTGGCTTCCTGCTCTTTCGTCTATAGAATTAACCAGGGAAATTGCCTATATTTCTTTTGCTTTTTCTTTTATTCCAAAAGCCTTATTCATTTTCTCTTTTCTGTCTTCAGCAGATTCAGCTCTTCTCCTACATTCTAGTAAGTTTTCTTTATCCTCTTCCCTATTTTTAAAGCATTAATCATCCAGAAGCTTAGGGCTTACTTTTGGGGCATCCTCTTCTCCTGAGGATGCTCAATAATCCCTCTCTCTTTCATCATCTTTTCCCTTACCATATTTTTTATCCCCCTTATTTCCTCTTGTACTCGTTTTCTCTGTCCTTCTCTATACAACTCTCGCTTCCTCTCGTTAAATAAACCTATATTCTTTTCCACAGGCTTACAAACAAGCGACTTCTCTTCCGGTTTAGGTTTCTTGTGACCTGCAGGTTCACTAAAGGTAATCTGATGTACTTACGGTTTGCTGTTGCTATTTCAGCCTCCCATGTTTAATAGTCTTCTATGGGTTGAGAATTTTGGGGTTTTGGGGTTTTGGGGTTTTGGGGGTTTTGGGGTTTTGGGGTTTTGGGG